GGCAGAAAAAAAAAAAAAAAAAAGAAGAAGAAGTAAGACCGGGAATTCCTCCATATAGAACCCGGGAAATGCTCGGACCATTACCCAGCTTTAGGTGCAGGCCCTGGAGAATAAGTTTCAGGCAGAAGTGGCCACATCTCAGACCGCTGCTCTGACAACCCTCCATCCCTTCCGTATGTGAGAGGTGGGCCTCCCCAAGACTCGTTACGAACAGTCGGCCGCCAAAGCCTATCTGACCCATAGAAAAAGAAGAAAAAAAAACCACCAATACATGGGCACCTGGGCCGCGGGTCTGACACCTCAAATTCTGGAGGCGCGAAACGAAAACGGGGCCGCCGATCGAATTTATCAACTGTGGGCCTAGCGTTTGACGTTTCGGCCTCGGTCTCTTGTGGCAACAAGTTTCGGACTGCAAGGCTGGGGCCGTGCATGTACTTGTGGTTTAACAGCCACACAAACCAAAACCAACCACAAAGGGTCACCAAGCCAAAGCTACCAGACTCTTCCCTTCCGCCGGCGAGCCAAAATAATGTTATCCTAGCTGCACAGAACACAAAAGAGATGGCAATGTATCTTTCCATGTTCTAGCGGAAGACTCAGTCTCATTTTCCACATTCGGAGAGCACTGCAGGGAGGCCCAAACACCGCACTGGATGACATGAGGCCCTAACACTGCATTGGATGACACCATTCCCCTGAGTCCTGACCGACCTTGCCGAGAAGCACACACACAATGTTTTCTGTGTCTTCTTTTTTTCTTTTTTTCCCTTTTTTTTTACAGGAGTTCACACAAGTCAAAGTTCACCAAGCTAAGATCATACTCACACTAGGCCCTCAAACTCGCAAAATCACAAAATGAGCGACCAGATCGAGTCCTTGTAAAGGAAGGGCTAGATCTGGCTGCTCATTTTGGGATTTTGCGATTTTGAGGGCCCTAGTGTGAGTACGCCCCAAGCTGCCTTCCAAGGCTCGCAAGCATGCAACTGCAGCTTTCCAAAGTGGCCTGCGGCTCCTTTTTCCTTTTTCCTTTTTTTAATTCCCTTACCTACATTGACCAGATGCTGCTCACCTAGGATACCTGATGCGGTTACCGGCCCAGGTCCAGTCCTCTTTCACCTTGTCTAACCCTTCCTGTCTGTCCTTGCCGCCTGTTTTTTCTGTTTCTTAGTTCTGGTTTTGTGTTGTAATCTACTTTAGTCTGATTGTGTCATTGCAGCCGCACTCTTTTTTCTTTTGGTCAGGCTGCTCTAAAAACTCGCTGCCAGTGTGGGAGTGTGACATTCGGGTAGGACCGATGGAGGTCAGTGTCGAAAGGCAGGTGTCCTGGGGGGATGGCAGGGAGACGGTAGGGATAACCACTGGTGCCCCCCAGTGGCCCCTCCTGGTACCCTGACCAGGCACGAGGTTGGGGAGGGAGACGAGGACCATCAGCTCTTGGTTCCAGGTTGCGGGTCATGCTCACACCTGCTCAGTCAATCCTCTGGTTCCCAGAGCAGTCAATGCTGGCAGGCATCCTCTAGACACCATCCAGTTTTTTCTATGCATCATTCGGTATCAATTTCTGTATGGGACACTGGACCCTTTTTCCAGCAAGTGATGCTCCCCACCAATAGATGGAGCCTCCCCCCAGGTGCTAGCAATGTCTGTGCTAAACAGCATCGTTAGCACTGGTGGGTCTGTTTAAAAAAAATAAAAAAATAAAAAAATAAAAAAAAGTTGGATGTGGCCCAGAGTGTGATCCTTGGACACTGGCTGTGTAAAAAGCTGTGATAAATGCTGACGGACCAACGAGCCCAGCTCAGTTGGTACACCCGCAAGCTGTTGAACTGCGATCCCAAGTTCGAATCCCGTTCCAATGAGATGAACAAAGTAAAAGAAAGGGTGCTAGCGCACCGCTCGAAGTAGCTGTCGTCACCATGCTACAGTTTCGTTTCGACATTTCCCAGGTAACTGGGACGCCCCCCGCCCACCATAGCTAGACTATGACGGTTAGGAGAGCGCCGCGGCGACCCCTTCCAGGGAAGCAACTGCTCAAGTGTGAGCAGGGTGTAAGTCTCTCTCAGGGGGGCTCGGAGTATCTGATCGCTCGGGCACTTGCCACACGATGTATGCTTGAAAGGAGAAGAAAAAGCCTACCCTACGAGGGCGATTGCTGCGTCCAAGATCGTGGATACAGAAGAGTGTACTGGGCCGAAGGGAGGGCAAGCAGGGGAAGTCCTATGGATATCCTTGTGACGAACTGGGTGGGAGAGTAGAAGATCAAGCTGGAAACAGAATCCACAGCGTTGAGGAGCCTCTTTGGGAACCATGAAGTTGCCGGACACGTAGAGATCAGGGGCGGCTTAATGGGACTTCAATTCCAGTATGGCACACAGGCTCTGCGCCCGACGATCATCACCAAGTGGAAAGACTGCATCTCTCACCCGGGGGCAGGGACTGTACCCGACTGTCTTCTGTCCTATTTATTGAGGCTATAGGAGCTAATCTAGGTACTTAGAGTCATAGTAGGAATTGTTTGTTCTTGCTTACGTTATTCCTTTTGTTTTTTGTGGGCCGTCGAATACTGAACCATTTCGCCCAGAGATCATGGGAGCCCCTGAGCCCCCAGTACCCTCCCCGCCTATGCCACAAGCGGAGAAGGACATGATCAAAGGAATCCTCGCAGAATGTTATAACGAGGGTCTGCTTCCGGAAGAGCTGTCCCCGGATCGCATAGAGGTGGGGGAAGCCTTCGTTCGTGTTGAAGTCAACCCGCAGCTATATGCAATTCAGGAAGAATGGCTGAACGAAAATGCCGTAGCGGTTTGTTTTGGCAATGGGTCCAGATCTCTGCCAGTGAAGGTTAAAATTCGTCTTATTCGTATGTACGAGAACGCGTGGGCAAGAAGTGGAGCCGTTAATACCCCGCCCAAAAGGGGAATTTTCCATAACGAGGGTTTTAATCTCATTACTTACGTTGCCTTGTCTAAAACCATTGCCGAATGGATGCTGCGAAAGAAGGAAGACAAAATAACACTAGATGGAGTGACCCACACCATCTCCTTTCACCCCTGGATGTTCGAAAATGAATTGTTCGAGTGGAGGGAAGCACACCGATTTAAGTTTTTCTGGATTCGGTGCATGTATGTTCCGGTGGCAACGCTACCTTATGTGGCAGCTGCAGTCAAAGAAGCATTTGGCACAATACTAAAAAAACATGAAACCTTTCCAGACCCAACTTCACCCGATCTGACAAATATCCGGTTTGATTTGGAACCAGGGG